ATTGTTTTTTGGCAGCACACTGAAAATAGTTCCACTTCATGTCATTGTGATCAACGTGAACGAGTAACACAACTTCCGAGGTTCATGCGCCTTGATATTCTATGTTACATCAGTTCTATTTTTAGAATGAATTGTGTTTTTCCCAGAAATACAAAATGTCGAGGATACCAAAGATGCAATGTTGAATTAGTCACTACTGTGATCTATGCTGAAAATGCCCAAAAATATCATGCCTTGAAACTGATATTCCCAACAAAAATTGTACATCTATTCCTGTCTTTGACTGTCACAGCATCTTGTTGACAAGCATCTCCATCCATTCCAGTTGGCTTGTGGTCCTCTAGTAAGGCACTGTGAACGATCTGACATCCCTCGGCAGGTGGGTTAACGACAGGGTTTCCGTCAACGACATTAATTCCTAGATTTTGTTGGTGTAAATCTCTGATCTGGTCGGTGATCTTTGAAAGAAGTTGATGATCTTGACTTAACGCCATACTTCTATTAATTGACTGATGTAAAAGTTTCAGATTCACGTCACTTTTGGTAAATCCAAAAAATCCTTATGAGTTTTAGATGAACATCCATGAACGCAAGGCAGGCTTAGTAGTCCTGTGCCGAGATTTAGTTGTTGACAAACAAAACCTTTCAGTGCGCCCTCACAGTTGCTGGTTTGTTCGGCAAAAAAGCGTGCGTTGATTTTTTTAACGCATTCAATAGTGTTAAGATATTGTTATGTGCGCAAAGGTTTAAATCAGCACTGAACCTAACAACCAATATTGGCGAGCAAGGCCTAAAACAAGCGACTCGACAAGAGAACAAGACGAACATCCACACGATACACGACTTCCGGTATTTGGAAAGGTAATTGTATTATTTTCAAGGCAATATTCATGTAAAAAACTGCAGCAGAAAAAAAAAGCATTTGCATAAATATAAAATAATATGTGTAATCATAACTGTATAGAAATAAATAATTATAAATCAGAAATACTATTTCGCAATTTTGTAAAGCTTTGAGTTCGAATTTGTCTCGTATAATGTTCTGTAAATATACAGATAGTTTTGTTCTTCTTTTTCTCTACTCCGGGAACTTGGGCTTTTCTGGAAAAACTTATGAAAGTTGGTTACTTGGAAACCAAAATGATGGACTCGCCAGAACCCGTTCCAGAACTTGTTGGGTTGTCTATTGAAGATGAAGATCGAATGGTTGAGGTAACTGTTTAATCGAGAAATGTAAACATCTAAATTATCGATTTGTGTTTTCTCATTTCCTCGGAGCATGTGAGATTTGACATGCGTTGACCTTCGGTGACCTTTTTGGGAGTATTTACGGCCGTATTTACATGTATCATTCATTTAATAGTTTAATTTTTAATAATTTTTGTTTACTAAATTTCTTGACAATGCCGATAAAAAAAAATTTCCAAGGCTGGATGAATTTTGATTCTAATTTTCGGACGTTTTACCCACATAAGTTATCATACAACAGGGAGCTGTAATCTCAAAGTTGGGTAATACTTGGGAGTCAAATCTAAGTTTTGTCTCCTTTAGTCTTAGAATCCATGGATTATTTTTGGAGTTATGTTTCCTGGCCATACTTTTCCCATCCATCGGTCAATCTGTGTAAAAAGTTCTTGTAATTTTCAGAATAAGTTTGTAGTTTCAAAAGTTTGCATATCATAAATTTTAAAAATTAATCTGAAAATATTTGAGTACTGAAATAGAAATTTTCCTACCATTGTTGATTCTTATTCTACTGATTTATATGATTGAGTAAACTCACTGAACATTGTGCCATCAAAGATTTGCCATAACATTGAGTTTTTCTATTTAACACAGCCACCAATGGTAAGACTGAAGAATGGCATAGATTTGAATGAACTAAAAAGAGCTGATGGGGAAGGTGCAGAGTTTGAAATATCCACGGATGAAACACCACATGGTAACAAATTCTCAGTAAATTGTGTTAGACCTTAGACTCAAAAGGCCATCTAAATCTTGAAAGAGCAAGAGATCATAAGACTTGATCCCCCCCCCCTAAATAGTGTGCGTCTACTGTACTACATAATGTCCCACACATATTCTTGTTTCATTGTCTGTCCTCCCCCTCACTCCAACATCTCATTACTTGGACAGTATATTGTAGGACGCAAAGTGAAACTCTCTTTTTGTTTATATCCACTTAATCTAGAAATTGAACAGTTTGATTCTGCAGAAATGTTTAAACAATTGAATTATGATTGTACAAATGAGTTTGATGACGATTCTGATGATGATACTGTGGTGAGTGAATTTTATTGTTTCCATAGTGATTAATACATTCACTCTACATCATCCCATACTAACTAGTAGGCATCAAACAGGCTGTAATTAAGTTCTAAAATATATGTAGTCACCACAAACAGCTCACTAACAAAATTTTCAATGTGTTAAAATTAAATCTGTTAAATTGAATCCACCTGTGTACAATCACAAGAGAAACATTGAATATGCTCCAGGGTTGCTGATCACAAAATCATGGCGTATTTTTCATAGAATAAATACACAAAATATAAGTACCACTCCACATGTTTATTTTAAAACCGTCACCGAGCTATAATCGGGCGTGTTCGTGATCATTTCCCGTGGACAGGAAATTATGCAGACACGATCTGGATTAACAGTAATCTGGTGGCGGCAACGCACATACATCAAAGCGAGTAAACACCGTGTAGCGTCCATCTCTAGTACATGTACGTCCATGGTAAAATGGTGTTAGTAAAATAGAATATGGTCTTATAAAATAAAACAAGATAAAAATAGATTTGGTGCTGACAATGGACGTTAGATAAACGTGCATTGTTTGCGACAGGAAGGTTGTCACCCATTATATCAAAATCGTCAACTGCTGTGTCTTGAGAATTGACCAGCAGACAATATAGCAACAATCCAAAAATGGCGGCTATGTACAAAAGAGCTTTATTTGCATAATCCAAAAGTAGCATAGTTACCAAGTTACATAGAGGGCGATGTTGTCATATTTTCTTGCATAGAAAAATAGTGTTATCATGTAAGCCATCTCATGTAAAACATTACGCAAATATCCACCAAACAGAGTTATTTGTGTTAGCATTTAAAGCACTAATTTGAGCAGTGTCTTTCTAAAATTTGAATGTTTTGAAAATAAGCTAGGATGAATGTAAATTGTTTAATTTAGGCAGGTTTTTGATTTTGAATGTGAATTTTTGATTTTGGCAGGTTTCTGATTTTTGAATGTAAAGTGTTTAATTAGGGCAGGTTTCTAATTTTGAATGTTAAGTTTTGATTTTGGCAGGTTTCTGATTTTTGAATGTAAAGTGTTTAATTAGGGCAGGTTTCTAATTTTGAATGTTAAGTTTTGATTTTGGCAGGCTTCTGATTTTGAATGTGAAGTTTTGATTTTGGCAGGTTTCTGATTTTGAATGTGAAGTTTTGATTTTGGCAGGTTTCTGATTTTGAATGTGAAGTTTTGATTTTGGCAGGTTTCTGATTTTGAATGTGAAGTTTTGATTTTGGCAGGTTTCAGATTTTGAATGTGAATTTTTGATTTTGGTAGGTTTCGGATTTGTATGTGAAGTTTTGATTTTGGTAGGTTTCTGATTTTTGAATGTAGAGTGTTTAATTGGGGCAGGTTTCTAATTTTGAATGTTAAGTTTTGATTTTGGCAGGCTTCTGATTTTGAATGTGAAGTTTTGATTTTGGCAGGTTTCTGATTTTGAATGTGAAGTTTTGATTTTGGCAGGTTTCTGATTTTGAATGTGAAGTTTTGATTTTGGCAGGTTTCAGATTTTGAATGTGAAGTTTTGATTTTGGTAGATTTCGGATTTTGAATGTGAAGTTTTGATTTTGGCAGGTTTCAAATTTTTGAATGTAAAATTTTGATTTTGGCAGGTTTCTGATTGTTAAATGTGATGTTTTGATTTTGGCAAGTTTCTGATTTTTAAATGTGAAGTTTTGATTTTGGCAGGTTTCAGATTTTACGGTTTGATTTTAGACAGCTGACACTGTAATGAGTAGTTTCTAAGTTGAAACTATTCATTACAACAAACTTACTATTCATGTTTCAGACGCCATTTGAAAGGATTGCACGAGATATGAAAGAGTTGACAGTTGATAAAGGAGTACTGAAGAAAATGATTAAAGGCGGCATGGGAGAATTTATTCCACCTGGATCGCATTGTAAAGGTGAAGAAATTTAATATATTCACAATCCTCATTAGAACAAAATCTGTGAACTTATTGATTAAACTTCTCGCTTTGTCTTCTCCACACATTGGACCTTGATCACCATTATTTTTAGTCCCTGTCCAGACGTAGTCTGAAAACAGGGATATATAATTTAATTTTCATGTGTGTGTGTGTGTGCGCGTGGTACCAACGTTGTGACGACTTAAATTGAACTTTACACCAACTTACGACGATAGAACCAAATTGTGACTTCACCCTAGTTATTAGGAAAAATCTGGAAAAAAAATGTTGTCCCACCATTGCCATAGCAACAGCCAAAAAACTGTTTTTGTGATAGCTTTGTGCCAAATGTATCTCCTCCTACAAATTTGGGATAAAACACCTCAGCTTCATTCTCAGCTTGAGTGTGGGCACAAAGTTACTATTTGAATTTTTAATATCTGTTTTCATTACCAAGTAATTTGACCCCAAAGTTGGGGCAACTGTTCCACGGCAAATGTGATATCCCAGAGTTCAATGCGTTTTGTACCATCCAATATACACTTTATCTCCGCACGAGGGCGCAATTTCAAATTGAAAGAAAAACTAGCATACACGCTATTACCATTCTATGACCTCAATTGACCCACCAGCCTCATTCCCAACTTGATACTGGAATTCTCATTTTTTGATGTATTTAAAGTTTTTTACCCGGATCGTTTTAACCATTTCAATAAATAGTTATAGACTATAATTGATTATGCGAAATTACTGCATTTTTGG